CAAAATATTCCATGAGAAGGAAATGAAAATAACTATGAAAATCTGCAAAGGGAAGAACTACAGTAAAAGAAAAGCCAACCAATGGAGAAACCAAGTCAAGCTAAATACCAAAAATAAACAAAAATGACTGGTAACTCAAATCATATCTCAATAATAACCCTAAATGTTAATGGCTTAAACTCACCAATCAAAAGACATAGGCTGGTAGAATGGATTTCAAAAAAGACCCAACAATATGCTGCCTCCAAGAAACTCATCTTATAGGAAAAGAAGCCCACACACTGAAAGTAAAAGATTGAGATAAAATATACCATTCACATGGTCTATGTAAGCAAGCAAGGATTTCCATCCTCATATCAAATAAAGTAGACTTCAAACCAAAGTTAATAAAAGGAATAAAGATGGACATTTCATACTGCTTAAGGGAAACATACATCAACAAGACATAACAGTTATAAATATATATGCCCCAAACAATGGAGCACCTACATTCATCAATCAAACTCTTCTCAAGTTCAAGAGTCAAATAGATCACAACACAATAATTCTGGGTGACTTTAACATACCTCTTTCACTACTGGATAGATCCACCAAACAAAAGCTAAACAAAGAAACTATAAACTCAATAACACAATCAATAATTTAGACTTAACAGACATATATAGACTATTTTATCCATCAATGAACAGATACACTTTCTTCTCAGCAGCATGTGGATCCTTCTCTAAAATAGACCATATGTTATGCCACAGGACAAATCTTAGTAAATACAAAAATGCAGAGATACTACCCTGCATTCTATCATACCACAATGGAATGAAATTAGAAATCAATAATAAAATAAAAAATAAAAACTACTCCAACACCTGGAGACTAAATAATATGCTATTGAATGAACAATGGGTTGCAAAAGATATCAAGGAAGAGATTAAAAAATTCTTAGAGGTAAATGAGAATACCAATACAACATACTGAAATCTCTTGGATACTATGAAGGCAATGCTAAGAGGAAAGTTCTTTGCATGAAGTTCATAGAAGAAAAAGTCAACAAATAAATTACCTAACACTACATTTCAAAGCCCTAGAAAGAGAAGAACAAATCAACCCAAAGCAGTAGAAAACAGGAAATAATTAAAATCAAAGCTGAAATCAATGAAATTGAAACAAAAGAAACAACTGAAAAAATTGACAAAAAAGTTGATTCTTTGAAAAAATAAATAAAATTGAGAAACCATCGGCCATTCTAACAAAGAGAAGGAGAGAGAAAACTCAAATTATTAACATCCATGATGAAAAAAGATATATTATGATGGACACTACAGAAATACAGAAGATAATTAGAAATTATTTTGAAAATTTGTACTCCAATAAAACAGAAAATATCAAAGGCATTGACAAATTTCTAGAGGCATATGATATTCCTACACTAAATCAGGATGATATACACAATTTAAACAGATCAATTTCAAGCAAGGAAATAGAGGTCACCATCAGAAGCCTACCAACCAAGAACAGCCCAGGACTGGACAGATACACAGCTTAGTTCTACAAGACCTTTAGAGAAGAACTAACACCAATACTTCTCAAACTATTTCATGAAATAGAAAAAGAGGGAACATTTCCAATCACATTCTATGAGGCAAATATTACCCTGATTCCAAAATCAGACAAAATCAAAGAAAGAAAACTCAGACCAATATCTCTAATGAATATAGATGTAAAAATTCTCAATAAAATTCTGGCAAATCAAATACAAACACATATCAAAAAGATAGTGCATCATGATCAAGTAGGGCTTATCCCAGGGATGCAAGGTTAGTGCAATGCTAGGAGCCACTGCAAAAGTATTACATTCATATGGAAAATGGACTCCTGCTGTTCACCTAGGCCCGTTTGGGAACTCAAGTTACTGGACTCCCGGAGAGTTCCCATTGGTTGGGGAAGGATGGTAGGAGGGTGTTCCGGGGGAAGTGCCCCCCCCCCTCCGGTAGACACACGTGTGTGGACCGGCTTGTAAGGGGACGCACACGGCCTCTCACAAAATAAAACTTTGTTTCAGTTTGACTGGCTTGTGTTTTTGTGCCCAGCCGGGTTGCAAGATTGCAAGCCGGCGTGCACTGACAGCCCAGCAGGAAGGCGCCCAGCAGGAAGGCAGCAGGCGGTGCACGGTGAGAGCAGTGGCAGGAGCGGAGCTCGGCAGGGCCCCGGCCGAGCAGTCTGCAGCAGTGCAACATATGGAAATCAATAAATATAATTCATCACATCAATAGACTCAAAGATAAAATTCATATGATCATTTCAATAGATGCTGAGAAAGCATTTGCTAAAATACAGCATCCCTTCATGTTCAAAACACTAGAAAAACTAGGGATAACAGAAACATACCTCAACATTTTAAAGGATATCTTTGCTAAGCCCCAGGCTAACATCATTCTAAATGGAGAAAAATTGAAAACATTCCCTCTAAAACCTGGAACAAGACATGGATACCCTCTGTCACCACTTCTCTTTAACATAGTTCTTGAAACTCTAGCCCAAGCAATCAGACAGACGAAAGAAATTATAGGGATACGGATAGGCAAAGAAGAACTCAAATTATCACTATTTGAAGATGATATGATTCTAAACCTATAAGACCCAAAACATTGTACCAGAAATCTCCTAGAACTAATAAATGAATTCAGCAAAGTTCCTGGATATAAAATCAACACCCATCAATCAAAGACATTTCTGTACATCAGTGACAAATCTGTTGAAAGGGAAACTAGAAAAACCACCCCATCTATCTCAAAATAAATTTTAAAAATATTTGAGAATAAATTTAACAAAAGAGGTGAAAGAACTCTACAATGAAAACTACAACACATCAAAGAAAGAAATTAAAGAAGACCTTAGAATATGGAAGGATCTATCTTGTTCTCAGGTAGGCAGAATTAATATTGTCAAAATGACCATACTACCAAAAGCACTATACAGATTCAATGCAATCCCAATCAAAATCCCAATGCCATTCCTTATAGAAATAGAAAAAGCAATCGTGAAATTCATCTGGAAAAGTGTAAGAGATCCAGAACAGCCAAAGCAATCCTTAGCAAGAAGAATGAAGCTGGTGGCATTACTATTCCAGACTTAAAACTATACTACAGAGCAATAGTAACAAAAACAGCATGGTATTAGCATCAAAATAGACCTGTAGATCAATAGTACAGAATAGAGAACACAGAGTCTAACCCCCAAACTACTGTTATCTTATATTAGACAAAGGCACCAAAAAAGTACATTGGAGAAAAGACAGCCTCTTCAACAAATGGTGCTGGGAAATCCACGTGTAACAAAATGAAATTAAACCTCTATCTGTCACCATCCACAAAACTCAACTCAAAGTGGATTAAGGACCTAGGAATTAAACCAGAGACCTTGTGCCTAATGGAAGAAAAAATAGGCCCAAATCTCCATCATGTCGGATTAGTCCCCAACTTTCTGTGGTGCAAGAATTAAAACCAAGAATCAATAAATGGGATGGATTTAAATTAAAAACTTCTTCTTAGCAAAAGAAACAATCAGAATGGAAGAAATCAAAGAAAGATTCTACAGAAAATTCTACAGAATGGGAGCAAATCTTTACCACAAGCACATCGGGTAGAACACTAATCTCTAGGGTATATAAAGCACTCAAAAACCTTAACACCAAAAAAAACCCAAATAATCCAATCAATAAATGGGCCAAGAAACTGAACAGACACTTCTCAGAAGAGGATATACGATCAATCAACAAACACATGAGAAAATGTTCAGCATCTCTAGCAATTAGAGAAATGTAAATCAAAACTACTCTAAGATTTCATCTCACTCCAGTCAGAATGGCAGTTATCAAGAAATACAAACAACAATAAGTGTTGACGAGGATGTGGGGAAAAAGGCACACTCATACATTGCTGGTGGGACTGCAAATTGGTGCAGCCATTCTGGAAAGCAGTATGAAGATTCCTCAGAAAATTGGGAATGGAACCAATATTTGACCCAGCTATCGTATTCCTCAGTTTACATCCAAGGGATTTAAAAACAGCATACTACAGGGACACAGCCATATCAATGTTTATAGCAGCACAATTCACAATAGCTAAATTATGGAACCAACCTAGATGCCCTTCAGTAGATGAATGGATAGGGAAACTTTGGTATATATACACAATGGGACATTATTCAGCATTAAAAGAGAATAAAATTATGGCATTTACAGGTAAATGGATGAAGTTGGAGAATATAATGCTAAGTGAAGCAAGCCAATCCTAAAAAACCAAAGGCCAAATGTCTTCCTTGTTATGAGGATGCTGACTCATAACGGCAATGGCGGGGGGAGCATGGGAGGAATGGAGGAACTTTAGATAGGGCAAGGGCGGGGAGGGGAAAGAAAGGGGAAGTGGGTAAGAATGATGGTGGAATGAGTTAGACATCATTACCCTAAATACATGTATGAAGACGTGAATGGTGTGAAAATATTTTGTGTACAATCAGTGACTTGAAAAATTGTGCTCTATATGTGTAATATGAAATGAATTGCATTCTGCCATCATGTATTACAAATCAGAATATATGAATAATTTACTTTAAAAAAAGAGAAAGGAGCGTGAAGGTACTGAAGAGAATGGGGAGGATCCAGGTCCACGAGGACCCTCAGACACCAAATTTGGAGTTTGAACTTTATCTCAAAAGTTATGAGAAGCCAAGAAAGACCTAAAGTTAGCCTGAGAGCTACACCATCAGATTTGCCTTGTAGATTAACACACCAGAGAAAGTAGGGCAGGTGACAGTAGGGGGTGCCAATAGAACCCTTGGTGTCATATAAAAGGAGGATAAGTATGAAAGCAAGGCCCCAAGGCTTCAGGGGGTCCTTGCTGCAGGGCTACCCTATGCCATGCAAGACACAGGCTCCGTGTGGTGGCCTTCATGATCTAGAAACCAACAAACACAGGCCCTGTGTCTGGGAATCTCCTTTGTTACTATGCAACATTCACCTTGCTGACTTTAAATGGTCTCTCCTGGGTGAGCTCTTTGTCAAACTGTTTATCCCAGTTTCCTTTGAAGTAGATGGCATTCACAAGAACCAGTTTGGTAATTTTATCCAATGAACCTGGAGACAGCAACTCTGTAATTTTATCTGAAAGGAAAAATTAAAGAACCAGTTAGCTGAGAGTTTTCTGATGATCAGTGATGATACGGAGAGGGGCCCACCTCCTCAAATGGTCAAGCGCAGAGATAAAGGATCACATATGCCCCAAATAAGGTAAACAGATATTTTTCATCAAAACAAAGCAACAGTCCTGGCACCAAGAAAAAAAAAACTTTAAAGTTCTGGCAAGAAAAATACCATCATTTGAATAAAACATAAAGTGAACAAGTAGATATCAGTAAGTGAATTAAAGGACTGTTTAAAAAAAAGGATTATAAATTTAAATTTTTGAAGGGCCAGATATGTTTGCCCTTATTTAAACACTGCATTACACCACACACACACACAACACACACACACACACACACACACACACACACACACACGTATGTATTGAAGCATAATGAACAGTTTTGTTATTATTTTTATTACAATTTTTAACAATACTATTATTATCAACTAAAAATACTTAAATTTTTAAAAAGATGACTGGTTGCAAGATGCTCTTTACAAATGTAAAAGCACAGTTTACCCAGACATGGTGGTACATGCCTATAATCCCACTGGCTTGGGAGGCTGAGGCAGGAGGACTGTAATTTCAAAGCCAGCCTCAGCAACGTAGGTCCTAAGCAACTTAGCGAGACCTTCTCTCTAAATAAAATATTTTTAAAAGGACTGGGGATTTGGCTCAGTGGTTAAGCACCCCTGGGTTCAAAGCCTGGTATCAAAAAAAWTTTTTTTTTAATTTTACATTAACTTACATTAAAAACCACAAGTAAATGAAGATACTGCTAAGCAACTTGTAATAATGCATGAAAACTGTGGAGCATGAGCCCACACTACAGAGGACACAGCTGAGACCTGCCATGTGAATTTTTCCTTTGGTGAAAAGAAAGAACAGCCAACAACAAAAAAAATTTAAGTGTGGATTGCTGACTACTGGAAAACATCATGGACACTGAGAACAGCAGAGAGAAGAAGCTAGAGAAAATGTCATCCATTGACAGTATTTCAGCAGCAGATTTTAAAGTTATTTCAAGAACAAAAATATCATTCTTCATATTTGACAATCTTGTTAAGGAACTGAAAATAAGACTGATTAAAATACTTAAAAATAGAACAACAGGATGAGACTGTAGCTAAGTGGAATAGCATCTGCTCAGCATGCGCAAGGCCAAGGGTTGGATCCCCAGCACTGCAAACAAAGCAACGACAACCCCATCATCAACAGAAACAACAAATAAAAACTATGTTTTTACCTTCTGTCTTTTTAGCTACCCAGGTGTTTATGTGATTTCTGGACTCCTCTGTAGCATTCAGAAAGTCAAGCTCTTCCATCTCTGCTTGGTAGAATTTCTGGCAGGAATCTTTAAAAGACTAAATCAGAACGACATAATTGCATGGTTCCAAAATAATTAACACCAACAGTGTACTTCTTTAATGTACCAAAGCACAAAAATCAAAAATGTGCTGATTTAAAGATGTAATTTACAAATAAATATGTAGAATGAACCTAAAATCCACCTTCTCAGTTCTTGGCCATCTTTAAATGGCCCAAGTATCAAACTTCATTGCATAAAGATGGCTGGATCTTTATGGGACTTGCTAAGCCTCAAGAAGTAACTGGGAGGAAGCTGGGATACAGTAACTGTGGAGAGAGTGCTAACCCAGCAAGAGCTTGGACACCACTGCGCTCTAGAATGAGAGAGGCTGAACACAGAAAGTAGAACACAGGAAAGCAAGCCATGATGATGACGATGATGACGAAGACAACACTGAAGTAGATCCGCATACGCTGACAATTGAAGAACAAAAGAAAAAAATTGCAAAACAACATATGTTGGATAAAGGCATAATGCAGGGAATATTACTACAAAACAAAATTTCTACATGTGCAGGAAGAACATATCAAATCCACAAAAGCTCTAATTCTGGGAGGGATGACGGGTTGTGGGAAAGAGGTTGATGGGGGCTCTTCCTTTGCTGGCTTYATTGCATTCTGCACAAAAAATATACTCACGTGTGACTTGAGCAGTTTTCTGATTTTTTTTAAATGAAAGGGTGTGAACAAATACATGAGTAACCAGAAACCTGAGTGAATTCACAGCCCAGGCTCTTTCAGCTGCACCATGAGTCTCCCTCCTCCCCACCACCTTGCTTCATCAAAAGCAGCGAGTATGACTTACTGAGAGGAAATCATAAGACTTTTCTCCAAAGAGCCTGTTGGCTGTTCTAAGCAWGTACYGTGTGTCCGTCTTGTTCAMTTYRGTGAGAAGGGACTGGAAGCCCTGGTGGACATCTSCACCTCCACTGCTGCTGCTTTTATTTAAAGAAAGTRCCTGAAATCAGAAACACAACAAAAACACACCATTGCAGTAGGCACTGACTACAGGGAACAAGCAAACTATACTAAACTTGGCCTAAGAACTGTGCAGATTCTTACCACCAACCAATTAGAGACAAAAAAAGTATCTTGAAAGCTCACTCTCCAGTGTCCCTCCCAGGATCCTTCTCTGTACCCTGTCAGTATTGGTCTGAGCGGAAATGGCTCTCCACAATGCAGGCTCTTTGTATCTAAAGCCTACCTGGAGATGGGGCTACCAGCCAGACCTCCCATCTCTGCGAACACAGACTGCTCCTAAAAGTTGTAAGGTACAGTTTTTCCCACCCTTAGGTCTGGAATGGCTCTGACCAACAGAATTCAGCAGAAGCAATGCTGTCCAGGCCTGAGCATTAAAACCCCTAGCAGCTGTCCCATTCACTCTTTTGTACCCTGCTGCCATTATGGAAGGAAGTCCAAGCTATCCCCTTGGAGGATTTGCTACCCACAGGCTGAGTTGCCTAGAAAAGAACCAAGTTGCCAGATGTGAAAGAAGACTCCTGGGATCTTGCAATCCAGCTGCCCATTGCAATAGTAGCATGAATGACCCCAACTGGCTTATATAACAGGGAGCATTAAGAACTGCCTGTGAGGCCACCGAATCTGAAAAACAATCCACCATTATTATATCTAGCCAGTAAGTTTGGGGATGGTTTGTTTTGCAGCAACAGATAACACATGCAGCAATGCAGAAGTGTTCTAACATAATGAAAATATAAAAAACATGGTACTGGATTTGGACATGGCAGTTGGCAGAGGCTGGAGGTATAGGGATGAAATTACTACTGCAGACTACAGAAACAGGGGCTTGTGATATGGTAGACACTGCTGGGGAAATAAAACGTTCACCTGCAGCACGAAGTAAGATAGGGCACGTTCCCAACTCCCACATCTGCCTAAGATGCCCAGGAAGCATGTACCTTCCTTTTAGCTGCCTAAGTTATAGAGTATGGGAAGAGAGAGATGAGCCAAAGAAAAAATTGTTCCATTTTCAAGCAGAATTTCAAGGAACTATTTCTAACCCAGGTCTTGATGGGTAGAACATAAAGGTGTTTCTTATCTCGGAGCTCCCTCTCCATTTGACAAAATGATTCTCAACATAAGAAATGACCTCAGGGTAGAGCTCAAATACATGGCCTCAGGAGCAAGGTCAAGATCCACTTTGTAAAAACCTTGGGACAACAAAGGTAGCATCTTGTAGACCCCTAGACAAAGGGGTTTCTAAGCAACTCAAGGGCATTGTCCCACAGCACCCTTACTTCCAACCCAATACACAGTCTGTCTCAAACAGGCTTGTGCATTTGGCTTGGTCCAATGCAGCAGGCTATTACTTGAGACCCAGAAATCCTACAACGGTATTAAAGGAGTTATAAAACCTTGTAACTAAAAGGTGAGACAGTTCAAAGTGAAGAGAGGTCCTTGAACCCCAACTCTCTTTTGGCAGGAGAAAGACTAAGAGAGAAACAAACATGAAACATGACCCATTTCTTCTGGAAAAGGACGGGAGTTGCCAAGCGCTAAGCCCAGAATGCACAGGGGGGTGCCATTGCCTTACATGTGAGGGACCAGGAATGCTTCCCAGGAAACCCAGGTGGAGCCAATCAAGGAATATTCTCACCCTGAGGGAAGAGGAGCCTGGCACACACACCTGGCTGGATTTGGAAATTGCTACAGTTCAGGGGCTGCAATGTGCTCACAGGGGTGCTCAGCAGGGGTGCTCAGCAGGGGTAGCATGTGCTTCTTGTCAACTCTCCATCCACACCCCTCTGATACCCTCTGATGTCCATCCACAGCAATCCCTTTGGGATTTGAAGTGTGGAGAATCAGCTCAATTGACAACTATCAGCATTTACTATTACTCCCAAAGGATATCAGGTACCTGAGCCATCTGGACTGCGGTGGTTCCCTTTGCCCCCAAGAGGACCATGGCCAGGGCCGAGGAGATGCTGATGGGTGAGTAAAATACATTTTTTGAACTGTCTTCACCCAGCGTTTTCAGAAGGTTTAAGGCAAAGGTGCCGCTTGCTTCCAACAGAGGATCCATGATGGCAAGCCTAGAACAATGGACTTCAGATCAGTATCACATGAACACAGGCTCACAGGCCAACTGCACTTTCCCTCCCATTAACTCCACTGCTGCTGTGGTGCAATAAGCAAACAGACACACACAGAACTCTGAGGGTCTCTTTTGAGGTCTCAAGATCATTTTATGTCTTAATATTAAATGAAAAAGAAGAGTAAAATTTAATACTATGATCCTATTTTGTGAAGACCTGTGCATGGGCAACGTATAGATGGGACACACGCACCATGTTACTGCAGTCACTTCCTGGAGTGGGTAAGAGAAAAGGTGATTAACTTTGGCTTCCACATCTGTATTCTTTGTGTGTTGTAAGAGCTCATTGTGTCATTTAATTTGAAAACCATTTAAAATTATAAATTCACTTACAAAGTTAAAAAGACATGCCACACAAGAGTTTTTATAATTTGGGAGCATTCCCCATTTTAGGGTAATCTAAAGCCTTAAAATAAAGATGGGAAATAAAACCACAAGTCCCTTCTCTCCTCTGAATCAAATACCCACCCATCACCCCCAACAAATGAGGGTGCACATACAGGCATGCTCAACAGGACACCACTTAACCCTCAGTTCTCCTTCTAGGAAACCTATGCATGGGACAATATCTGTGGTCCACTGAACAAGGTCCCCAGACACATCCAGGTCCTAATCCCTGGAACCTGTGAAATTTYCCTCATGTGGCAAAAGAGAATTTGCTGCTGTGATTAAGAATGGACCATTCAGGTGGCCCCCAAATAGAGTCACATGTAGTTTATAAAAGGGGTTGTCAACCTGAGTAAAAAAARAGAGAGAGAGAGAGAGAGGGAGGGAGAGGCTCTCTAGAACAAAAAATTTCCATTCAGAATAGAAAAGGGATGCAAACCTGGTGGGAAGACTATGAAAATCAAAGATGCATGGGAGTAAGGGTAGGGAGGATGAGACCAAGAGAGAACTTGTAATGACAAATAAGAGCCTAAGCAGCCAGGCSCTGTGGTTCATACCTGTAATCCCAGTGGCTTGGGAGGTTGAGGCAGGAGGATTGCAAGTTTAAAGCCAGTCTCAGAAACCTATCAAGATCCTGACTCAAAATAAAAAAAAAATAAAATAAAATAGACTGGGAATATGGCTCAGAGGTAAAGTGCCCCCAGATACAATCCCTGGTACCAAAAAAAAAAAAAAAAGTCATTGGTCTCAAACACCCTTGCTTTATGGCAACAACTGGGCCTTAAAGGCCCATGTTCAATTTTTCTAGTCCAACAATGGGGAATTGAGGTAGGATAGAAAAACTAAAAGATACGTAGAAAACAGACAAAAGGAAGGACATGGAGAGTGTCATTTTAATCTGAAAGTCTCATGCCTTATGCCAAAGTTCTGCATGTGTTTCTTCCCAGGTCTGTCACTCCCCAAGCCAATTGAGCTAATTTCACTCCCAAATTTCTGGGCAATCTATCAATCTTTCAGTTGATGGAAATTCATCCACTATGAAAATTACCTTGTGCACTGTTGATTGTCTTACGTAAGAAACAGATTAAGCAAAGAGAGAGACTATATTTTAAGAAACATAACCTAGGGTACTTCCAATGTGACTTACCGGTCACTTAGCAGAGATCATATCAGTCTAAGAATCCTGAGAATCCCAGACCATCATACACCATCTTGTGATCATCACACTGAAGTCCTCCTCACATACCTTCCCATGTCCGCCCCTCACCAAATTTCCTTTAAAAAAGCCCAAGAACCCCCAAATCATCTCCCTCTCAAGATGACTCACATTCCCCCCTGAATGTCTATATTCCTTGCTTTCTTAAATAAATCTCTGCCTCAGACATGTTCTTCAATCCATTTCTGCACATCTATCAAGAACCCTACTCATCCTAAGTTGAGGTCCACCCCTCCAGAAACTCCTTAGACCTCTTCCAGTGACAGTTTAACCTATGTCCTTGTTTCTTTTAATGAAGGAATTGTAAAGTACAAAATCTGAATACCAGAGAAGGAGATGAGTACTGGTGCTGATAGAAAATACAGTTGCTGCTCAATTCACAATAGCCAAACTATGGAACCAACTAGATGCCCTTCAATAAATGAATGGGTAAAGAAACTGTGGTATATATAAACAATGGAATATTACTCAGCAATAAAAGAGAATAAAATTATGACATTTGCAGGAAAATGGATGGAGTTAGAGAATATCATGCTAAATGAAGTAAGCCAATCCCCAAAAACCAAAGGCCAATGTTTTCTCTGATAAGTGAATGCTAAACCAAAATTGGGGGGGTGCGCATGCGATGAGTGATAGAACTTTGGATGGGCAAAGGGCGGGGAGGGCGCATGGGGGTAGAAAAGATGGTGAAATGAGACAGACAGCATTACCAGAGGTACATGTATGATTGCATGAATAGTGTGACTTTACCTGAGTTAAGCAGGTCTATAATGAGCTGCACAGGACTTTACCTCCAAAGTTTTGAGGTACCAATTCATAGCTTCCCTACCTCCAGCTCTGCTGTTAAGAACTTTCTTGACATTCGGACCCCAGCTCCATCTATCTCACAACACCCCGACTCTTTCAAGCTTAGGAAATCTTATCCACATCCCTGATATCCAGAAATGTCCCAGTGATGTGTCCTTCTCTGGGCCCAGTTCATTCTTTTTGGTGGAGATTTGGAGGGCCCTTTCAATGTAGCAATTTAAAAATTTCTCCTTTCTACTCAGGGAAAACAAATTAAAGTGCTTTCTCATTTCCTGCAGAATCTCTCTTCTCTGCTTTTTTACCTCCTATTTGTCAGGCACTAACACTCTTGGAATRAACTCATCTAGGACTTTCCAACCTTCTGAATGTCACAGCACACACAAAGAATGATACTAGTACTATACTTTGGGACAAGGCTACTTGTTGTAGAGGTGTGCAGCTCAAATCTCCAGCCACCAGGCTGCCCCCTCCAGCTGCCCTGAGTTGGAGAGGTCAACACCTTAACAATATCCCAACACACAGTGAAAAGTTCTACTCAGACCTTTTACTTCTCTTGCATTTTCTGTAACAATTACATTTTGTCCCATTTTCTGGAGAAAGGCCATTGTCCTCCAATCTTTCTTTCTTTTTTTTTTTTTTTTTTTTTTGGTTAATATCAGTTGTTACACTTTTTAATTTCCAAGGACTGTTTTTCTCTGATGTCCTTAGTTCCAATTCCTCAAAGAACATCCACTATAATTCTCTTGAGCTTCTTTTGCACCCTGCCTTGTCTTTCCCTGGTGTTTTGCTATTGTTGTGGTGGTGGTGGTTGGTGATTGTTTTATTCTATGTAGGTTTCTGTTTCATGCTTAGTATTSCCAAAAATGCCCACCAAACCCTGGGTGTCAGTTCATATTTAGGGGAAAACACAAACTGCTGGAAATTCTGTTTAGACAAGTGGGACTTGTCCGCTGGGGGCTTCTCTGCTGATGTGATCAAGGAGTCACAGTAGCTTTTTCTGCTGAAGAATGGCAAATAGAAAAAACCCTGGTCCTGCTGCTGGCTCTGATGTGTAAATAGCTGGAGTGGGGGCTAGGGTGCTTCTGCTGGATCCCTCTCCCCTCATTTCAGCCCAGTGCTTTTCTCATCGGTTCTTGCAGGGCTGAGACCTGTCCTCCTATCAGGGGCTGCTAGGAAAGAGGGGGGCTGCCTGGTTGCCAGGGCAGAGGGGATGGCATCTGAGGTTCAAACCACTCCATAAACAGATTTTCTACCAAGGGGCCCTACTGCCACCTGCACTTCACCCTCCCTCTCCAGGGACTCCAAGGTTGAGACTGTCAGCTCCTCTGGGCTGCTCCTCCCYCCTCCCTCCACAGACACTGAGCTCCTTCCTCTAGCCACTTTCCTGCTCAAAACTCTRCTGGCATCTCTTGTCCACTGCTCAGTTCCTCTCTCCTTGTCTTGTCCTTGGTTTTAATGATTTAAAGGGCCCTTTGCCTGTTGGGTTAGCAGGGTTTTGTGGAAAGAAGAAGATGAATACACATGGCCACAAATATACCAACTATTTTTGTAAGAACAATAGAACAATATGTGAATGCTGAAAAGCCACATTTCTTGAGTTATTATTTAGTCCCTCTTTTGTCATATATGTGTCCAAGCATTAAATCCCATGTATTAAAATCTTTATTTGTCCTGAAACATAAATTTGGAAATAACCTGGAACTATGACATAATCATAAAACAATTTTCATTTTTACTTTGCAATAACATATRAATCCTTAACAATCAATTATAAAAGGATTAGAGTTCCAATCCTAAAAAGAGAAAGTAATCCAAATTCTAAGAATTTTACCAATCACTAAGATATTCCAAATAATAAAGAAAATCATAAGCAATCTAGTGAGATTTTTTTAAATGAGGTCTTTCTCTTACCTATTCGTGTTCCAGTAACAAGGATACACATTTCACAGATGGCATTGCAAACTCAGTGTGTCTAACTATGGCCTTTCCAGTGCCTACTTCTACAGCTGCAGGAAACAAGATGTGGACACTTCATACACACACATAGACACACACACACACACACACACACACACACACACACATATAAAATTCATACAAATTTCAAAATTACTCACTGCTTTGAAAATAAATAAAAACAATTTTATAATTGTTTTTTATAAACTGTTTTATAAATAAAAACAATTTTAATCATTGACATAAAAAAGAGATTAAGGCTCTCTTAATGAGCTACTTTATACATATTTTGAACATCTAATAAATCTACCCTAGGGTTATTTCTTCCCCTGAATCATGACCAGTAACTTTGAGCAGTTCATGTTCACAACTTAATTTATTCAATTGATCAAGTCTAAAAAAATTTTAAGGTGTCAATCTTTGATTGTGTTCTTGATTTCTTCGACTAACAGAATTTTCATTTCCTACCAAATGTAACCATGTAAAGTCAATTTAAATGGAAACTTGCGTTCCTGTTTTGTCTCTGCTTTGCTTTATTGTGCAGTTGCAGGTGTGTCTGGGTATGTGTGGTTGTGTGTAATTTCTTTGAGCAGTAGATGCCTAATAGGTAATTAGACATTATTTTCTTCTTCTGATGTGTTCTTGTCCCAATCCCTGACCCAGCCATCTTAGAAACGTAAGGTGTGTGGTCTTCCTTGTGATCCTACAACATCCACCTGGCTACTCTCATGGGCAGATAGATATAAGGGGGGAAATATTGATGCTGTTTGTTCTAATTTCATTCTACTGTTAATGGCATGAATTAAATGTAATAAAATGCCTTGGAATGGAATCTTAATTATAGTAATCCCTAATTATATGAGGGCACAGGACCTCCATAGCAAATCAAAACCCTCAGATGTTCAATTACTTTATATAAAATGATGTAGTATTTACTATAACCTATGCCCACCCTCCTGTATTCTTCAGATCATCTCTAGATTCCTTATGTCAGCTAATACAACGTAAGTGCTATATAAACAGTTGTTAAACCATATTGTTTAGGAAATAACAAGGAAAAAAAAGGCTGCATATGTTCAGTAGAGAATCAATTTTCCTCCCAATATTTTTCATTCACTGTTGATTAAATCTGTGGATAGGTAACATGTGGATATGGAGTGCCAACTGTATTTTGCTTATGGAACCAAGTACCCCCTTTGTCAAGGCACCAAATCATAAGGGATGCAATTACTCAGGGGTAGTCATGAAACACTGGCACATACCCAAGATATATTGATAACAGCAGTCATTCGGGGTAATCACAGTACATGTTACTGAGCCTCAGCACTGCAATGCCCCACCCCTAGGCCTTGAATCCAAAAGTTCCTTAATTCATCTGAATTTATCCCAGCAATTCTAACTCATAGGAGGAAGGAAGCAGGCAGCCAGGGCATGTTCCTAACATCAGTATAACTAACTGAACCCCACCCAAGATGAAAAACCAGACCCAGCTTCCCTCTGGTATCTGAGTATTTCTCACGCCATGTGAATGTTAATTTTCCATGAAGTCTGTCAAAATTGAGCTTAAGGTATCCTTCAACAGATGAATGGATAAAATAATGTGATATATATATGAGATGGGATATTACTCGGCCTTAAAGAAGAATAAAATTATGACATTTGCTGGTAAATGGAGCAGGAGACTATCATGCTAAGTGAAATAAGCCAATCCACAAAAACCAAACTCAGAATGTTTTCTCTGATATGCCAATGCTAATTCACAATGGGAGGTGGCTAGGGAATAATAGTTACTTTAGATTAGGTAGAAGGGAGTGAAGGGAGAGGAGTGGGTAGGAAGGTAGGAAGAATAGTAGAGCGAATCTGACATTATTACTACCCTCTGTACACATATAACTATACGACCAGTGGGATTCTACAGCATGTATAACCAGAAGAATGAKWAATTATACTCCATTATATATAACAAAGTGCACTCTACTGTCTTGTAYAACTAAAACAAAAATTTATTTTAAATTTGAGTTTAAAGGGAAAGGAGAGAAGGAACTAATTTAAATGCCAATTTTATCCAACACACAACCCTAAACATAAGTAAAACTTTTCCCATATTCTCTTATTTAAAAAAAAAAAAAAATTGTAGGCCCGGACAGACAGGATGCCTTTATTTTAYTTGTTTATTTTTACATGGTGCTAAGGATGGAACCCAGTGCCTCACACTTGCTTGGCAAGTGCTCTACCATTGGGCAGCCCCAGCTCCTCCCCATACCCTCTTGAAAAGACCAAATCTTGTAATTTACTGCCTGCAGTAAATTTAATTAAAAAAAAAAAAAAAACCAGATCCTTAACAAGTTCTCAAACGATCCTCGAGAGGGGAGACCACGGCTCCTGCCCGGGAAAGGCACTGAGGGGCCCCTCTCCCGCCGCCCCTGGCACCGACCCCTCGGCCTCTCACGCCTCCAGCCCTGCGGGTTCCTAAGGCCCAGCTCCGGGCGTCACGAGCCCGCGGCCTCCGGGTCGCCAGGAGGGAGCGGTCACCAGGGGCCAGGGCCGGGCGGAGTCACCTGTRGGCTCGCGGTGGCCTGGGATTACGGGTGGCCGCGGGACGAGCGGGGTCACCTGCGATCCGGGATCCCGGAGCTGCCGCTGGGCCGGCTCCGCGCCGCCCCCATCCCGCTGCCACCGCCTGTCCCTCGGTCGCTGAGCCTGCGCGACCCGGATCCGGGCGGTCCACCGCGGCCAGAGCCTGCCCACAGACTCACCGGGTGGCGTCGCCGTCCGCGGCGGCCGCGGGGATCCAGAAGGGAACCTGAGCCGACGCTGCCCCCGTGCCCGGCGCCGCCCCACTTCTCCGGGYGCAGGGTCCCCGCGTCCCAGCCCCGCGTGTCCCCCGCCGCCACTCCCGGGCCCAGGCGCTTTCCCCGAGTTGGAGCGGGTAACGGACCCCCGCGTGCCACGGCGGTTCCCACCAGACACCTACCCCAGACTCTCGGCGCCGCGGCCCACGGCGAGCAGAGCAGAAGGAAGAAGATGTCCCGGCCTCCAGGCCTCAAATACCGGCCGGGCGGGGAAGCGGGCGGAGTCCCGGGAAGGGAGCCAGGGCGCCGCGGGGACAGCAGCGGCCTTCGGCCACCGCGGGAGGAGGCGGGGCGAGGGAAGGCAGGGCGGCGACGCGGAGGCCGCAGGTGTGCAGCAGGTAACCACTGCACTTTAACCCCAGTCCTGCGGGCGGTCTGCCCCGCTGCGGACTCCACCCGTGCTGGGGGGGCCGTGGGTCCTCTCCCGTCGCAGGGTGCGAACTTCACTGCGGCGGGGACTGGAATGGCGGGTGAAACCACCGCCTGCTGCTCCGGGAGGCTTCCAGCAGGGGGCGGCAACGCGCACCCCACCAACCTGTTTACGGTGAATAAGTAAGGATAATATTACTTAATAATTAAGTACCAGCTCTTAATGGGCATAAATGAGTGCAGAACAGAAATTTTAAATGAGAAGGAAAAAAAAAAGTTTAATTCTGGGACTGAAGGTAGAGCTCAGTGGTAGGAGCGCTTTCCTCGCATGGAGGAGGCCCTGGGTTCCATTCCCAGCTATGGAAAAAAAGATAAATGAGCAAAGCTCTTTGCTCATTCCAAAGATTCCAGTACTCTGAATGAGACCCCAAGGTACTACTGACAAATAATGACAATGAAAAAAAGATGACAATGAAAAAGGTTTAATGCTTGGCTAATAACCCTCCGTCTTCCTTTTAAAAATTGTTTGTTTGTTTGTTTTTCTTTTTTGGTACCTGGGATTGAACCTGGAGTGTTTAACCACTGAGCCACATCCCCACCCARCCCATTTGTTGTTGTTGTTATTTTGGTTTGTTGTTGTTGTTGTTTTGAGATAGAGTTTCATTAAGTTGCTTAGGGCCTTGCTAAATTGCTGAGGCTGGCTTTGAACTTGTGATCTTCTTGCCTCACCCTCCTGAGCYTCTGATATTACAGAAATGTGCCACTTGCTCAGCTTCTTCTTAGATCTTAGCATCTCTTTATGTATAAGCATTATTAGTGCTTTGTGATATRATTCCTGAATCACACCCCCCTCGACACCCCCTCCCACTTATCTGTTTTCTAACAATGCTTCTGGTAACTATGGCATACAGTTTTTCATGAAGTCAAATTTAGTGACTTTCCTTTATTGTTTCTAGGCTTTGAGTCATGGTTAGAAAGTCTGTGTCTAGATTACCAAGTTCACCAATTTTTCCCACTATTTGTATGGTTTCACATTTAGATTGCTGGTTCATTTAGARTTTATTCTGGCTTATCAGAAATATAGGTGGGACTTTAACTCCATTCTCCTTGAACAGGCTCTTGATCTGCTGCGTTTGTCTGAGGATATCGGACTCSTGCTTCTTCACTTTTCCAAAGAAGATTCCCCAGAAGCCTTTGGTCTCAGACTAGGGTAGCACTGTTGATCCCTCTTGATCTGGGGCTTCAGCCTCTTGGACTGTGCAGCTATTGGTTCTTCCAGCTCTCTAGCCCGCACATGGCCATTGTGGACTATCCAGCTTCTGGTCCTGTAAGCCAATCTAATAAGTCCCCTTTTTATAATTATACTTCCTATTGATTCTGTTCCTCTAGAGAACCCTCATACAGGGGGGAAACTGTGTCTACACTGAGCATATGTGGTATAACAATTATCTACCAAATATTTACTTTGTATTGGGTATTAAAAGTGATCTTGAAATGACCTAAATRTATGGGAAGATGTATAGACTCTGCAAATACTATTCCATTTTATATAAGGGACTCAAGCACATGCAGATTTTGATGTCTGCAAAAGCGCTATCTTAAATCCATGAAGGATTGGTTCTAGGACTATTTCAAATTTGAAGGATTGATTCAAATTATTTAAATTAAAGAAATGTTTACAAGTCACATAGGTTAATAACACGAAGCTCAGCAGCCTTCTAAAAACCTTTTTCAGCATAACACATCTTTCCCCCTGCGTATAACACAATCCTAACAGGCTCATGATGAAAAATAGAATCAAAATTAAAAATATCAGGTTTTTAATCATATATGATAGGAATACACAATTGGAGAACTATTCTAGTGAGWTAGTAGTTCTGATGTTCATGTGACAAAGGCCTGGGGCTTGATTTGTCTATAATCCAACATGAAAATCAGTTTGAACTGGTACCACCTGAAATGCTTATAGGGCCTTTCTTCCTCTTTTTAGCCATTTACTATAGGGGGCAGAAACAGGTGCTGGAAATCTATTTTTTGTTGTTATTGTTTTTCTATTTTGGTTCCTTTTTATTTTGTTGTTGTTGTTGTTGTTGTTGTTGTTGTTGTTTTCATGCTAGGATTGAACCAAGGGTCTCCTGAATGTTAAGCACAGCATGGGCTCTACCACCAAGCTGCACCTGCACAGTGGCTGTGATGGTGATCTTTAATATGACTCTTGGCAATCAGTTTCCAGATAAAGGATAAAGGTTACCACTCATGATAAAGAGTAAAGGTGG